TCAGAGCAGACCTCAGCCATCACTGCGGAGATAGCTTCATGCTGGACTTTGAGAGAAAGCCAGGTTCTTTTGGACTCTTGACTGACTTGCAATTTTATAACTGTAGCTCTTCTACACCACAACAACAATGAAGGGATTGCAGTGACATGCTCAAGCTCTTTTTGTGCAAGTCATGACTCTGATCTAAAACAGTGTAGTCCTCAGAATACATCCCTGTAAACATGAGAGAAAACACATCTTTAAATCTAACACGTTTGAGCACTTGAAACAGTCTTGAAGTCTGATCTTGCATCCCACGGTTTGCATTTTAAATTGAAGATGAAGTGCCATCAATATTTTATAAAGAAGAACTAAACCTAGGTGACCTGAAAATGTTAACATCTGTTCAGCTGTCGTATGAAGGACATCAGATTTGCAAAAAACTGACCTAGTATGACTTCTTTCTCCATTATCCAAACCTATGTAATCCGATATGCCCGAATGATTTCATGAAATGATGAGGCCGATAGTAACGTCTCAGAGTCAGACGCTTACACGGGAAGAACACAAACTGCCAGATGTATTCAGCGCTGTAGATCAACCATATTTAGGTCCAGAGGGAATACAAATAAAATGTTGGTCCCGCTGAGAGAAGCCACTCGCATACACCGAGAAGAACTGAAACTTCACTCATCAGTTAAACTGACAGAATCTTACATCGTTTTAAAATAAGTTATTTTCAAGCAAGCATGACAAAGTTTGCTCCAGCCTCTCTCGTCTTTACTGCAGTCGTCTTAATGACTTGTAACTAAAGTTCGGACCAAACGAGACACTGTTTGTTTGGGCTCTAACAGTTTCAATGGGAAGTTTAGGCGTCTAACTCTGGAGTCAAAGACTACACAGCGAGTCAGTTATAAACACTGAAGGGAAATCTGAGTTCATAATAACCAGAGGATTGTTTACCACTGGAGTTATAGGCCTCGATTCAAAAGACTTTAGATCAGTTACTTAGAAAAGAATGCAAGGAGACTGGATGATGATATCAATCAATCAATGCAGCTAATAGAGAGCTACCTAGTTGTCTCATTAAATCAATCAGTTTTCAGTCATGCCATTTGCATGCCAATCACCTGCAAGCCAGCTTCGGAGCAAGTGTTTTAAAACACTATGCTATCACTATCGAGTCTATGGCTGAAGACATCCATAAATGCCGGTACCATCTGATGCCATGCTCACAGAGAGGAGCTGCTCTGATGGACATGTCTCTTATGGGAACACATTTAAACAAATAAACACAAGTAGGAAGACCTTGGAGGTATTGACGACTACAGGGCTTGAAATAAATCTGTGTGACCTTGGCGACTGCTTTAATTGTGGCTAGGCGTCTGTTTAGCTGGGTTAGTGGAGCACTGTGATGATAGGAGCACAGGAGAGTTCGCAGATGCGTCGCTGAACCATTGCAAGGTCAACTATTCTTCATAAAGTCTCTCTGTAAAAACTTGAACGCTGTTTGCTAAATGAAAGACACTTTTCCGCTCTAAGGGATTGCAGGCATTCACCACAGGATCTGAATCTCATCAGAATATACTAAGCCTCCAAAACCTGCATTTAGTACATAAAACATGACTTTGAAGGAATCTGTTTAACGGTTAACTCCTTTTTGGTTGGCGGATACAAGTCCAATATATTCAAAGCAAGGGAGGAGGTCAATATGCAGCCAACAGCATCCAGACTTCCATTCAGCCATGACTGCACCAGCTGTACTTGCACCAATGTCCTGTTCTAGCAGAGAATCTGACCTTTCATCCACAATAACCCCAAAGCATTGGATCACAGCCTATTCGCCTGCATTTTCAAACCACCGTGAGCCAACACATAACCACTGACCTACAGACAGACTTGAACACTTGGTGATTGGAAAACACATTTTAGAGGGAAGAGCCATACGCATCTCACATGTCAGTTTTGTGTGTGATTAAGTGTCAGCAGCCATAGTTCACTGATCTACCCGGTTATGAAACAAGCACACATACAGATTCCTCAAACTAGAAGACTTCCTTGGAAAACTAACTTATTTCACAAGGTTTCATAAATGAGACAAACTGAATCTGACTAGACCAAGACATTTCCTAGGAAAAGAGGAAACCGACAAATGAGTCAAAAATAAGTTCTTCTTCTGCCTGCAGTGGGTTGATGAAAGACTTCACTGGCGTTTTTAAAAACAAATGCCAATGATACATTAGTGAATTTAAGTATAGTTGTGTAAACTGTTGAGCAGAGTATCCCACTGTTAGAGTTTGCTGCGCCTTGTCCAGCACTGTACAGAGATTTAGACTCTCCAGACACTGAGAACAATTTAAACATGGATCTTTGTGACATCCTAGTGTGCCTGTATTATTCAAATGACTGTAAATCCATATCAAAATCACCCAGTAACATTGCTGGGACCTTCTGCAGTATTTACTTCATTTCACTTTGAACCCAGACTCCAGTCGTGATGCATAAGCATAACAACCCTGAAACGTATTAGAAAAGTCAGAGGTAACACAACAGTCCTGACTCATCATCAGCCTGACCTACTGCTCTCTGCTGCTGACGAACATGTAATGCTGACGGAGGCAGAGCAGGAACTGCTGAGTCCTGTGTTGATCGAAAACAAACCACCAGCTCAACTCCATCAGTATCATAACACAGGACCAGCAGGGTTTCAGATGACACTCTGAACCGTCTACGAACTGGGGTCGGTCGCTTTAAAACATCGATGAAGACGTGGGGCTTGGCGGACAGTGCGGCATGCGGGTGCGGTGACCCTGAGCAGACCGCTGTCCATATAGTCACCATCTGCCCCTTATATAGACCACCCTCGGAAGCCAGCCTCTTCGACCTAGGACCAGAGATGCGGGCATGGCTACACGACACCGAGATGGACCTCTGACGTTACACGAGAGAAGAAGAGACAGTCAGCTTGTAAAACTTTGGATTTAATCCTGATCAAAATATAAATTAACAAGAAATCTGACCAGGCCTTCAACGCCATCTTTCAATACTTCACTTAGAGAGTATTGCTGGATGTGATCTCTTTATACATTTCTCAAACATAGAAACATTTTCCTTAAACTGCAAACTGATAAAAGTCTAATCGCTGATTCTTCTCTGAAACCCAGCAGTGTTGAAATGGCATTTCAACAGACAGACGTATAGGACTCTTAGAATATTAACAAACAGTTAAAATAATGTTTTTTAAACTAGTGGAATAAGCAGAGTTTACTGATAGTTGGCAAACTAAAGAAAAAAAGGTGTAGATTTAAAATGACTAATGATATGTTCGGTTACTGACATTTCCAAAAAAGCCAGTATGAAAACAAGATTAAGCTCCTCGAGTACAGATTAGCAGTTTTCTGAAATCATGGCCACCATTGGTTTACAAAAGGAAGCTTGAAAGTCATTAGACGGTATTATGAGTCACATTTAACATTCATTCTGAATAACTAATAATAACTGAATAAACATTTCATGTTTTTAAAGCTAGGATAGACGCTATACAATCAGAACATATTGGTGTCTGTAAATGCTACTAGTATACAAACTGTAGTATCATATAATGTCCTTTGTTTTCTGTCATGTTTGTATTAATGTTTGGAACTAATTGAAGCAGGTCACCATTGTAAAAGAGGTCTATGATCTCAATGGGTTTTATCTGTATAAATAAAGGTTTTGAATTGAATTGAAACTGTGCCAAAGTTACAATCATAATGTAGATTGAAAATCACAACCAATTCAAGACTCTCCTGCATTACCAATTAATGTGAAATGCAACGTCGGCACTTTGAGGGCACCCATCACCTCCGCTAACCAACATCCTCCTTGGGGACGCCCTGTACCAAACATACATCGGATATAACCTGCACACTTTGCAAAAGGGTCTACTGCAGAGTCAATCCAATATGATAGGTCCCGTGTTCAAATGGGCTGCTACACCACTGCGTTTAGTTTCTGTGCCATCCTGGTGTCTCTACAGAAGCATTGACTTGCTGTCTGGAAACTGCACACCCTGCACTTTGATCCAATCAGTACAATAACAGACTTCAATAGGAGCCTGAAGTCATTTAAACCTGTACGAGAGTATGCTCCCTTTTCCCTGCAGCGTCAGACTCAATTTCAGCTGACATTTAAAGTCTGAACACTAACACATAATAAAAAGAATTGAACGCTTTCCCCACTTTGTCTTGAACACACAACCGCTTCAATCCCCTCAAAATCCTTTGTGTGCCTAATCCGTTTGCGTTTGCATCCATCACTGCAAGAATAGTTCATGACGACAAAGAACAAATAACCTTAGATTTGAGAGAGTCAGAAAAAAGCAATATTTCTCCGTTGGCTAAACTGTAGAGTAAGTTTCTATTAATGAAGGGAAAAAAGGTTTTTAATACATGTTTGGCTTATTTTTCTCCAGTTGGTCAAACAGCAAACCCTACTCTCAGAAGAAGTGTTGTGATATAACACTTTTTACCCCCATTGTGATTTGAATTTTCCCAAAACTGCTTTTTATTTATCATTTTGACTCAAAAGACGATCAAAGAATCTTGAAATAAGATTGATGGTTTCCTGAAAGTAGAACTAAGTGCACCACCCAAGTCACTGCGTTGATAACATCTAAATACTTTACACCGGAGGAGGATTGGGTTTCTGACAACCCATTCCATTTAGAATATAATAAAATATATATACACCGAATAAACATCGGTTAAAAAATGCGAAATAATACATTTAAATATATATATGAACTAAAAGGTGTATTTTAACTTGAAGAGCCAATTATCTTGATACAGCTATTAACTGAAGGCGAGGGCTTAAAGGCAGATTATACCCATGGTGATTATTGTGGGATAACAGACTCAACAGGCGTGGAGCCGCAACGAGCCGCCTACCTCCCAAAATAGTAGATCATTGTGCGCTGTATAAACGCCGTCACACTGGAGGTCACGGTAATGCATTTCCCCCAGTAACAGAAATGGTTGCAGTGTACTCCCCCCTCCCTCTGTCCACCACTTCAAGAAACAAGCGCACCCCCACCCCCCTCATAAAGCTGAGGATCTGGGTCTAGCATGGTATCACAGTAACCGTGGAGGAAAAATAACATCCATTTTAAATCAGGCCAGTGAAGCTGCCGTGCTGTCGCTATCTCATAAGCCCTATTGTTCAAATAGCCTCACATTCTCATCTCAAGTGCAGCTGAACATTAGAAATATGTAGTGGGACAACACTACAGTGAGTGTGTGCACATTACATGCACTAGTTTTGATTCCATTTCTTTAAAAAAAGAAGTTATGTCGGGCTTTCTGGAGACTGAAACCTGTGCCAGATAAAAGCAGCTCTGCATTTATGAGCTGTTTTATAATTTAGCCAATGCGTGCAAACTACTGCTTAAGTGATTAGACACTGCATTAATACAATTACGTCATGTATGCAATGGATTCTATGTACTGTACCTCGGGCCAGAAAAAGCCTTTTACAAGATCAGCAATTACTTTAGTCCTGACCCAGTACTGCCATACATCACATATTTGAAAATGTATGTCCAACAACTCGGATACTGAGTCACTGAACAATCAAGGACATTAGTTACAGTTATAACAAACTCATTAGATTGCGTTTATCTTAATAGCAACCCATATGGTGGGAGCAAATGACAAAGGAGTAACAGTCATGATAATATTTGCCAAATAAACACCTATTAAATTGACTGTAAAGACAAACCATGTCTTTTTCACTAAGCAAAAAGTGTCCAAGTTATGTTAATCATTGCTGAAATAACTGGTTCATTTTGCAGTCAGGTCAGGCAATTCAAAATAAACAATTTATAATAGCTTTAGGTAACTGATAAATAAAATAAAAACATCTGCTCCAGATTATCACACAAAGGTTATCATCATTTAAAAAAGGCTTGGTAAAAAATAAAATCTCACAACCCAAGTTTCTTTAGGTTGCTTGCCTTGTTTAGAATACATCCATCTGTTTACATGTTTATTAATATTCAACATTACTTTTATTCCACTGTATTTAAAATGTTACATTGTTATTATTATTCTACTTTACATGTATATGGTTTACTGCACCATTTTTATTTGTTTGATGTCTTAAGCATATTGTATGTTGCACTGTTGGAGGACACTTAAGATGGCCAAAACTAGGCTATAGCTATAGTGCATACAGTATGACAGTCTGTGAATTCAATGTTCTTGTTCTACAACCAATGGCCTCAAATCCAACGACAAAGAGAAACTCAAACTTACATTTCCTGAAAACATTTATACATATCAAATCGTATGTGATATCAGTAGTTTCAGCTAATGCTGTACACTTTCCACCAGTATGTAATGACAACTTAAGCGTGGCACCTCTGCTCATAATTAGACCCTGATTGAAATCACATGTGCTCGATAATTGGCCAGTCACTCCTCAGCCTCGGTGCGCTCAGCTGCGTCTTCTCTTGTCGTTTTATCGCTCTATTTCAATTCACTGTAATCCCCTTTCTTCCCCCTGCCACCGCTCTCTGTGTCGGATTCCACTTCAGGAATAAATAAATAAATTATCCATCTCGCTGGGGGTGGTGACGGTAAAAGAGAATCCCACAGTGGAAGTGAAAGAGAAATCAGGACACGCACAGACGCCAACACAGTCAAGAAGCAGGGGTTTATTCGTGAGGGCTGCGTGTGTTAAAGGGGACGTTAATTGACCGCAGGGCTAATTGGCCCTAAATGAGAAGCGACAAGCAGTTGCTGTACAGCAGGCAACACAAACCACCCGGGCCCCTCCTTCCTCCTTTCCCTTTCATTACCAAAGATATTGAGCCAATACACTCAAGCTAGATGTAAATGCAAATACAGTCTTGAATTATACATGTCCAGCACAAAGAGCCGTAAATGCCTCACGGTCGACGCACATTTACGCTATTTAAAAAAAGGGGTTATTAGCTAAGGACAATATGGACTATCCCAAGGTGTAGCACGGTAATTCCTTCAAGCAGAAGACAAGACAGGTGTAGCTAAAGCTCGGTAATGTTAGCTAACCACACGGGATAGTGCGTATTTCCCCCAGATTCCATACACACTTGCAATAACACACGCCAAGCTAATGAATAACTAATTGGAAGAACACATCCCCTTTAAGTGCATTTAAAGCACACAGCAAGCAGAAAATACATTGTTTTGACCCCAAATGAACATAATTTTAAATGGTTTATTTGGTAAGAATAAGCAGCAAGGTGGACTAGCCCAAGGTGTAGCACGGTCATTTCTTCAAGACAGGTGTTCAGCTCGGTAATGTTAGCTAACCTCACAGGATACAGTGCGCCTTATTCCCAACAAAACCCCACTTAAAACCCACCGAGGACTCGACTTACCATGGACGTTCATGCAGTGCTGGAGACATGTTAGCAGCAGAAGGACTCCCGGTGTATAAGTGACCATTTCTCGCAGTGTACCGTAACCGTTGCTAGCTGAGCGCTCGCGGGCTGCCTCGATCCTTCTTGCTGGCTCGCGCTGGCCTGCTTCGTCTTTGATTCTGCCTGTCCACGCGCAAACTACACATACACACACGAGCGCTCCTACACAGTCACAGAGAGCAGAACAGACGGCCGCTCGAGCTGACACCACCGACCGATCAGCAGCACGCGCTGCTCACAACTGAAGTAAACGGATGCGTTCGAGGCGCACACCACGCGCCTTTTGATCTCGTCCTACAACCACGCGCAGCGGGGGCCGTTCGGGCTCCGGCTGAAATCCATTTCTTAAAGTGGACGGTAACGAGCAGCCCCGGTAACCGTTTCTGTTAGTGGTACTACACTGAGCAGGATTTTGATTCCCTCCTTCAGTATAGGCTGCGTCTTGGAACAATGTTAACCCTTCACTATCCGCATGAAATAATAACATTTAGCCAATAAATATGTTATGTATAATAATCAGATGGATGTAGGTAGGCTAATAATAATAACAATCATAATAATAACAGCAACAAAAACAATAATAATACTGATAATAAGGACATCAATACTATGAATAATACTTGTATGAACAGTAGTCTAAATACATATTCTTAGTATTATTATTATTTACATAATATCATCAGTTGCATGCAGTCTACATTTAAAAAGACAACAAATAAACAAAATACAATAATAATATTTAGTATGTTATTATAATGAATACTAATAATAATGAATAATAATTATATTTTGCAGACACACTCATTTGTTTTATGGTGGTTGGCTCAAATTGAAAATCAATACACTTTAACAAAATAGCAGCAATACAGTGTACTTTAGTGTTATTGCATTCTTACACTCCATTAGAGACAGGAGTTGTTTTGTATTAATACATCCAGTTATTTTCTGAAACGTGATAAACTGCAGGTGTGATGAGGAAAGTGTAAACAGGTGTACTGTATAGGTGAGGGGGGGGTCAGGTGCCTGGAGGGTTAGGGTTAGAGGACATCTAGTGGACGTTTCAAGGATGGCAGGTCAGTGGAGAGAGAAAACAGAAAGGTGTGTATCACAGAGATATCTTTAAACATATTCCAGAAAGGATCAGTGGCGACTTGTCATTAGGGGCAGGTACAGGCACAGCCCCACCTAGTGTCAGCAGAGAGTAATGAAAATAATAATTCCAAAAATATGCAAAAAATAGATATTTTAAAATATATTTTAAGATGTTTAGTCGTCTGATTCGTCTGTACATTGCTGTTTTAGTCTGTGTTCTTCCAATTAGAGTCCACAGTGTGCCTATTGAGCCGTGTTGAGCGATGTGGGGCAAGCCCCTCTCTCTGCTGTCAAAGTGAATGGGTGCTCTACACTGCACATGCTCAGAGTCTTTTTCTATTCAATGTGTGCGGCAACAAAATAATCACCAGTGGGGCAAAGTGCTGGCAACCCCACCAAAACGTCATCTCATAGTTCAGAGCTGATTGGCTGTAAGTACGTGTGCCACGAAAAGTGTTGTGAAGAGGAGACGAGAGAGAGCAGCGTATAGCGATTAAAATCAGTAAAGCGGAAAGAAAATGAATGAAGTTGACGATCTACTTCAGCTTGTTAAGTTTATTTTATGTCATATCTTTTGTTGATCTTCTGTGTTTTGCCTATAGGCTATTGCTCAATCAATCAATCAATGTTTATTTATATAGCCTAATATCACAAATGTTACATTTGTCTCAGTGGTCTTCTTCACAGTGTGTATAGAGCTGTATTAATAATATTGCTCTGCTGGATCGATTGATATTGTGACCTCGGTGATGAGTGACTGTGTTTTCCTTATATCCCCCCCCCCCCTCTCTCTCTATCGGAACCATGGATAGCCTACAGCTATTTGTTTACGTGTTTAAAAAAGCACCAGAAGCTTATATATACACATCTAAGTTGTTTGTGCCCCACCACTTTTTAAAATATAAAAACGCCACTGGAAAGGATACCTACATTTCTCCATCAGGTATAATCTTTTTTATCCAGCTGGGAAAAGGCACACTTACCTGAAGCTCATCAGTCAAAATGACACAATGACTGAAAGTGAAATGGCAACTAAAGAAGGAAAGTACCCAGCGGATCAATCACACCATATGTAAAGTTTTATTGCGGATCATTTTGTAAAAGCAGAATCGTGCAACTAAATTAATCTCTTACATCCCCCCCCCCCCCCCCCCCCGTCTGTCTGATGCAATATCTCCATATTTTGGTCAGCAAGCCTTTGGCTGCTTCAGATTGCTGTTTGCTGCCAGGTCTCAGAGGCTCTCCTCAGTTCTTATCAGAGGACTGAACATCATCTTCACTGATGGCTGATGGCTGCTGATGCACCCCAAGGCTCCTTCTGTCCCAGATTTATCAAATCCCCTAAAAAAAGGCTCCCACACAATCCATCATTCTGACTCTGTGTCTTCCTCACAACGCACACAGATAGCAGATCTAATGGTTGGAATCCAGCCTCTCATGAAATACAACTGTGGACAATCATTATTTGCAGGCTATCCAGCAGGAACCTGAACAGTGCAGATGACTTAAAGGATTACAATCCATGATTTCAAAACTAAAGAATGATTTACAGATTTGAAAAGACAACAAGTAGGGTTTTCTGTTTTCCCATGGCAAAACATGATGATTTGTTATAAGGGGCAGGGTTGTTACCATAGACTGTATATATAAAGGTTGTTACCAGGTTGTTACACATTCAATTCATCCGTAGAATAATACAATTATGAAAGATTGACCCAAAAAAAAACATAGGGAAAAGAACAAGACAAACATAAAGGGATACAAATGAATACATCCTCCTGGGAACCCAGCCCATTGACAAATGTCCACTGTAGTGGACATTTTGTTAACATGCATCTCCTTTTACTCTTTTGAGGTACTCTATCAATCCCTGATGTGCTGCACAGAGGACATCCTGGTCTTTCCAGTGATATGTCATTGGTTAAAATTGCATGCTGGGAAGTTCCTCTTTCTTTTCATCCAAAATGGCTGGCATACCAAAAACAACATTTTATAGAAGCAGAAGAAGTCACATATTGTTGAATAATTGTTATTTTTACCATGAAAATCATATGTGTTCTTGTTTATTAACATGTGAGGAACTATATAATTAGTTCTGAAAGCAATTAAATAATTCAAGTTTTCAAATAACAGCCCTTTTATAAATGTCCATCCTAGTGGACGTCAGGACCATCTTCATGGACTTTATGACTCAATATTGTTGCAGGAGACGGAACTGAAGCAGACATTTCCTGTACCAGATAGTTCAGGGAGATTCAGATGTTGAGCTCTCAGATGATGAGAGAGATGAGGATTTCACACCTGGGATAGAAGAGGGTCAAGAAGAAGGGGGGGAAAGATGCAGGATGCTCCATGAGCGCACAGATAGATACATAGAGACAGATAGGGATGAGCTGGAAAGACATGGCCCTCTGTGGGCCAAGAGTAGCACGTATGTCTTATTGTTGTTTTGATTTTAAGTGGAGCCATGAAAAATGAGAGTTGCCTCAGGAATGCAAGCTTTGTTTCTATGAGCAGGTCAAATGGAGACCACATCCATAAAACTAGTCAAGATGACCCTACAGCCTGTGCCGACTGGAGTCAATGAGGTACTTTTCCCACTACGTTGACTACAAAGTCTTTGAAGATCTGGAAAGATTCACCAAAAACCAAACTAGTTTTTTAGTGACCAAATAAACAGCAATGTTCGGATCAATTACTTATTTATGTTTTAAATAAAGGTGAATGTATTATTGTATTAATATCACTCTATAAACATAATATGTTACATAGTCTATCTGTTCATTTTGGCTGTCTTTTCAAACTAAAATGGTCCGGACGTCCTCTCCAGTGGACATACTGTAACATTTCAAAATCAAATTAAATGAAAAAAGTCTAAATAACAAGATCTTTTTTTTAACCCTAAATAGGTAGGGAATACAAAATAAAGAAGATTGGAACGTTTTTTTTCACAGATATATAATATAAATAAAAATAGAAAAATACATAAAAGAAAGATATAAGAAAATATGTTGTAATGTAAATGCAAATATATAAAGAAATATGGAAATAAACGAAAATACGTCTTATATTTTGTTATTTGTCTTTATATTTCCACATGTATTTTCTCATTCCTCTAGTTTGATTTTTTTTTAGTATATTAGACGTTCTGTTGGGAAAAATACAAGCTGATTTCCCATGCTTATGGGTTTTCTTTTCTGATAGACATGCCACTGTGTATGACCTTGCACTGTGTGTGACCTTGCACTGCGTGTGACCTTGCACTGTGTGTGACCTTGCACTGCGTGTGACCTTGCACTGCGTGTGACCTTGCACTGTGTGTGACCTTGCACTGCGTGTGACCTTGCACTGTGTATGACCTTGCAGCTGCCTGCTTTTTAGATAGGAGGAGGCAGGGCATAATTCATGTTGTTGATACAGATGAGAGGACACATACTTCTCCTCACCTCTTCGAGGGGCAAAGAGCAACATCGGCGTGATGAGAATCCTCTCCAGAGATGTCCAGACACCTGCTGACGCCAAACCGATTTACGACTTTGTTTGTTACCTCCTCACTTTGGACTATATAAGCTTGATGTTACTCCCTGCTTCTTTGAGCAGCATACCTCATGTGTGTGAGTTGAACCATATCCTTGGATGTGACTTAACTCTAACTATTTTCCTAACACTTTCAGATGTGTTTTTCCCCTTGACGCTTGACTTCAGGGTTAAACAATTAACGATAGAAGTATCCTGTTAGCCCACTGAGATACCCATTTAAAAAAATGCTTTCAAATAAAACCCCCTCCGCACACCACTAACCAGTCTGCGGCGCTGCAAACTGAGAGGTTGAATTTGAAAGGCTAATTTATGTGTGCGCTGTCAATGATCTCTAATTGAACATGGCAGACACATGTCACTGCATGGCGTCATCCTGCACACAACCCACAATGCACATTTACAGCACCAGATGGCTCCATTTAAGCCACATTCCCCACATGCACGTTAAACACACTCCAAAATCAAAACTAGTCATAGTTCTTCTAGCCTGTAGTGCCATTTATCAATCTAGATAGTCTGGTGTGAGATGCCAAGTGTACATATTGAGATTTATGCCTTCTCTCCAAAAAAAATGGAACTTCATGGCACTGGGCTTTTGGTTCTCAAAGCAGCCGAAATCATGACAGGTTACACAAGAAATCACAGAGCTTACAGAGACGATTTCAATGTGGGAACTATTTTCTTTCTACTACCCACTGTACAGTAGCACAATGCAAAATAAATGTGCATGTGCTCATGGGCGAGAGGCTTATACTTTATACAAGGACAATCCAGAATGAGCGGGGACAGGAAACGAGGAACTGCAACAGAACGAACCATATCGCGGAAAAATTGACAACAAAGTGACAAAGAATACAATGGAAGACAGGCCTGCTATACACAAAAGAGTAATCACACAAACAAGACACAGCTGGGGAGGGACTTTCAAAAGCACAAGGACAACACCAAAATCCTGACAAATTCAGTTGAACAAATTGTGTATGATCATAAACGTGTTTGCCAAAGATCTTTTTCTCTGCAATATTTTGAAATCCAATGGAAAAAACATTGTTTCTGTCGAGGGAGCCCTATAATGCTGATTTTCCCCTTAACCTGCAAATGTTGTTTATCCAATGGCAGGGATAAGAAGAAGATGGTTTCCATGTAACAAGCTATTTAATGTTCTTATAATATGCGTATACAGTCACAAAGATGATTCTGCTTTTGCTAAGGCTATATATTAGAGTTAAAGCTTCACACAAATGGCTTGGCCGTATTTATTGTGTCATGCTGGTCCATGCAGAGTCTCTCACAGCTGGCCTGCAGAGAGAGAAATGTTAAGTAAGCTTCCAGCAGTTCAATGAAACAGCAGCTATACAGTTGGTTATATAAAAACAAGCGAAACAGAGATTCAGTTAGAACAAAAACGGGGGAAGGAACTCAGCTACAGATGGTTCATAAAACAAGGCCCCAGCTGGGTTTTATCTCATCATGGATCAAATGTGTCTCTCTGTGTGTTGAAATCCAGCAGAGAAGCGTCACTTATGAAGCAGAGGACTGTACACAGCCCACAGATACAAACACTTCCTCAGAGCAAACAGCTTTATCCTCATCTCACCAGGAAGCAGCGGGGACTCTCACCACCGGCTGAACGCTGATACTTAATCATGGCCAGATCTGGGCCAGATTTCTGAAGATGTGTGTAGCCAAAGGGGGAGCTCTTTATCTCTCTGTGGAGGAGAGCTGCTCGTCTACTTTCTCTAGAATTTATGCTTCCTCATGTTCAGCCTTAGTGAAGGTGGCACAGAAAGGAAAGGGAGATCTGCCGTGGCTTAAAGGTCACCTATTATGCCAAATCCACTTCTTCATGTCTCTTCTACATCAACATGTGTCCCCTCTTCTTCATGTCTCTTCTACATCAACATGTGTCCCCTCTTCTTCATGTCTCTTCTCAACATGTGTCCCCTCTTTTTCATGTCTCTTCTACATCAACATGTGTCCCCTCTTCTTCATGTCTCTTCTCAACATGTGTCCCCTCTTTTTCATGTCTCTTCTACATCAACATGTGTCCCCTCTTCTTCATGTCTCTTCTACATCAACAGGTGTCCCCTCTTCTTCATGTCTCTTCTACATCAACATGTGTCCCCTCTTCTTCATGTCTCTTCTACACCAACATGTGTCCCCTCTTCTTCATGTCTCTTCTACATCAACATGTGTCCCCTCTTCTTCATGTCTCTTCTACATCAACAGGTGTCCCCTCTTCTTCATGTCTCTTCTACATCAACATGTGTCCCCTCTTCTTCATGTCTCTTCTACAACCAACATGTGTCCCCTCTTCTTCATGTCTCTTCTACATCAACATGTGTCCCCTCTTCTTCATGTCTCTTCTACATCAACATGTGTCCCTCTTCTTCATGTCTCTTCTACATCAACATGTGTCCCCTCTTCTTCATGTCTCTTCTACATCAACATGTGTCCCCTCTGTGGAAAGAGACTCTGAAAGTTTCAGGAACAAAGATTCTCTCTCTTTTTGTCCTGATCCATTTCTATAAAAACCTGTCTGAAAATGAGCTGATCAGATTTAGGCCACTTTATGATGTCATAACGATTTTTTGTCTTGTGTAACCATTAGCCAATCACCAACCAAGGTACCCCCCCCCTCCCCCACCTTATCACCTGCATCTCCTCCTAGAGCAGCATTGAGTTCTTTTTAACCAAATGTCTCTCAGAGGGGCGTGGGGAGGGGCTCCTTATTTTCATCTGAAGTAACAGACAGAGAATCAGCACTTTGGAAACAGGGCTGAAACAGAGGGGCTAAAGAAAGCAGCCTGAGCATCTCGACCAGCTCACTTCGCTAGTAAATTGTCAACGGGGGGTGGAGGGGTTGTGCCAGTGACTTATCTGACCAGCCCACTTCGTCCCGAACGTCCCGATGGCCAGTCCGCCACTGGCTGAAACAGAGGGGATTATGGGATGCTGCAATGATCTGTTTGGTGTTTGGAGCCAAACACTTCAGAGACATGTTCTGTATATATCTGAGACCTATAATATATTGATGAAAAACAGTATGATAGGGAACTTTAATACCTCACCAGAATGGTTCCTCTCGTAAAAAATGATTTACAGTGTGGACATCTTTTACATGATTGGTACTAAAATATTTAAAAGCGATATATTTCTGTGGCTGTCAGGTAGTGAAAGGTCGCCTTTCATGCATCCATGGGCAATATTATTAACCCCATGGATGTATAAAGAGAAAGGGATAAGAGAGCCATGGATGATTCCTTAAACCTGTGACTTTCTCTTTACAATACTCACTACTCACAAAGCTGCAACCTCAAAGTAAAACAAAAACAGTAATGAAAGAAGGCTTTGAGTAATCCTTTATACATTCTCATACATATATTTCTGTATAAAATAATCTTTTTACATTTGTACACACATGTTTTTACAGTACATACAGCATTTACATATAAATATAGATTGATTTACAGCATTAAAGTCAGTGCTGTTCTCACATGCTTAATACAGAATGTGAACATTTTTGCATTTGAGAAACAATTCCTAATGTTCACTGACGTTTAGCACCACTCGTCTGGTCCTATTTCTTGTTAATCAGTGAGATGTTTCCAAGAAATTGCAAGGAAAAGCACAACACTTTAAGCCGTTACCACTCCTTGGGAGGTTTAAAAACAATTACAGTTATTTAGCTCCACATCTGGAGCTTGTTTATATTAATACCTGATTGATAAGAGGCGTAAAGTCTGGACAAGAGGTGTCAGATTTGTGAAATATGAAGACATTGGTGCCCTTCTATTCATGCCTTTGAAACAGGAGGGTTCTTTGTCTATTTGGGATGACACGTCTTGAGTAATTTGGTCCAGAAAGTGATTTGAATCCTATTATATCAGGTTTGACATTAAGCATTGGTCAAAACTGTAATTTCGACTTTTTTCCAACAGATTGAAACATTCCTCTCAGACTGCCCCAATGTCATACATGATATCTTCATGTTTTTTTGCATAAAAAATGCTTGAAAATCATGGCTAATCATTGAGATACTGTGAAAAGTAGCAACAACATGGCATTTAAAGGGATAAGATTCGGAAAATCAATGAATATTTGGTACTCTTATGCCAACATGTATGTCCTCTAAAGACATTAGAGGAAATGTCTGTTACAAGTCACAAATGACTACAATACAGCTTCAGAGGGGTGATCAGAGGTCAGTTTCCCCCACAATCCTCCACAGACATTAACACAAGTTGAGCTTTATGACAAAGATACTGCCTGGAAGTCAGTCCTGTTCAAACATAATCCAGAGCTTCTAATTTGTTCTCGATAAGAAACATATCTGACATAGAAAAACCGAATTATAGATTATATAAATATATATGTTTTTCTATGCTGCAATGTTGATTTGATATAATTGTCCTTAAAAATAAAACAAAAGTACATGACTCGACCTCTTCCTGTATGGATGGTCTCACTGTGTCACACTCAGTTCTGACAAACATTAACACCTTTGCAGTGGTATGAGCTCTGGCACTTCTTCTGGCAGCTAAAATAGGTCACACAAGCAAGGACTTGACTTGTTGTTCTGCAAGTGTTGGCGGATTCCCACATGAACCAGAATGGATTGAATAGTTGTCACTTGGTGTCACAGCGCCCCTCTGTGGACAAAACACATAACACCCGTCTGCCGGGCCACACTGGCTCCTGGATTGTTCACATCAACTGTTTAGGTTCATGTATCTTCAGCATAACTCAAATCCTTCTTTTAAAAAGGTATACTTCAGCCACAAACATGATGAGTTGTTCACTGATTACCTCCCTGTGAACAAGATATCAAAACATGTCAATCAAAACATCCATTTACAAACTCTACAATTCTTGCAGTATTCTCCAAGTTTCATGTATTCGCACTACTTCCCAAATACATTTTCAGAAAAGAAACTTTCTTTAGTTCCTATTTGAGACACTTTTCTTGAAATAGGCTCTTGGTTTGGCATGCTTAAGACTCGCCCATTCAAGTCCGAAGTGTTTTAAATATAAAGGATGTAGCAAAAATGTTAAAAATAAGCAAATTAATGGAGAGTTTGTAAATGTATGGTTTTAATTGTTGGATGATTCTTTCTGTAATTAGACAATGCTGCCATTTAATTCCATCCAACATTTTTATCTGGTTTTTGACTCTAATTAAAAAGGCTTGCGAGATACAAATCCAGGTGAGTTATTGATGTATAAAATGTAAAAGATTCCTCTACAACATAATTGACAGTAAGTCTTGTTTTCAGTGCACAAAAGAGGGTTACTGTAGGATGGTTAGCTGTGCTCAGCTAAGAGTCTAGTTTATGTTAAAGTACATTAAATAATGTTCCGTTGGCTGTTGATTGCTAAAGGTAGTTGTTATTAAAACTGACATTCACAATCCTTGCTGTCCGTGCAGTCCGTTTTGTTCTCAATGTGAAGCTGCATGGAGTCTTCTGCTGCGACACCCAGTCTTTTCCACTGAACAGTGAGAGGTATGATCTGTGACACTTATTCCATCTGTGAGAGCGAGTTTATCTCCATTGTCAGAGATGGATTTCCCTTGCGGAGCCTCCTCTGGTGGATCAGAGTGGATCAGGTCTTTGTGAAGGGCTTCTGCAGGCACAGGGAACCGTGGTGAGGCAGGGGGTGGCTGTAGTAGTGTTTGATCACCGCTGACAGAGTAGGGAAGGGGGCTTCAGCGTCCAGGTACACGCTGTCCTCCTGGAAAAACACCCACAGTGAACAGGAGACTTAATACTATGAATGTCACATTAATATTCTGCATTATTTAAAGGTCCCCTATTATACTGTTTTTCATCAATATATGATAGGTCTCAGTTATATACAGAACATGTCTCTGATTGGCTGAAACACCAAACAGTTCATTGCAGCATTACCCATAATCCCCTCTGTTTCAGCCCTGTTTCCAAAGTGCTGATTCTCTGTCTGTTACTTTAGATGAAAATAAGGAGCCCCTCCCCACGCCCCTCTGAGAGAGATTTGGTTACAAAGAACTCAATGGTGCTCTAGGAGGAGATTCAGGTGATAAGGTGACAACCTTGGTTGCTGATTGGCTACACAAGCTAAAAAATCGTTATGACATCATAAAGTGTCCAAAATCTGATCAGCTCATTTTCAGACAGGCTTTTAAATAAATGGATCAGGACAAAAAGAGAAAGAATATTTTTTCCTAAAACTTTCAGAGTCTCTTAAAGTTTACACAGAGGGGACACATGTTGATGTAGAAGAGACATGAACAAGTGGATTTTGCACAATAGGTGACCTTTAAACCTTAATTACTCATATTATATAAGGTATCCAATGTTTACATTTGTTGTATTAGGTTGGTCTATAATAGTGTAAATCTAACACATTCATTATATTTATATTGTGCATTCAATAAAGATATTCTATGGTATGATTCTATCCCACATTGAATACTGTTTTACAAACTGGTCATTTGCTTGTGCCACAAACCTGAAACTCATAGAACAGCTGTACAAGAGAGCTATCAAGGTGTTTGACAGAAAGCCACATTCATACCACCACTGTCCCATCCTTGAGAAACACAATTACTTGAGTTTTGACAATTTTAAGTCTTTTGAAAGTATGTGTTTTTTTTATAAATGTTTACATGGACTCATCTCGCACTTTAACACAGGGGTATCTCCTCTCGCACTTTAGCACAGGGGTATCTCCTCTCGCACTTTAACACAGGGGTATCTCCTCTTGCACTTTAACACAGGGGTATCTCCTCTCACACTTTAACACAGGGGTATCTCCTCTTGCATTTTAAAGGGGTATCTCCTCTCGCACTTTAACACAGGGGTATCTCCTCTTGCATTTTAAAGGGGTATCTCCTCTCGCACTTTAACACAGGGGTATCTCCTCTCACACTTTAACACAGGGGTATCTCCACTCACACTTTAACACAGGGGTATCTCCTCTCGCACTTTAACACAGGGGTATCTCCTCTCGCACTTTAACACAGGGGTATCTCCTCTCGCACTTTAACACAGGGGTATCTCCTCTCGCACTTTAACACAGGGGTATCTCCTCTCGCACTTTAAAACAGGGGTATCTCCTCTCGCACTTTAACACAGGGGTATCTCCTCTTGCACTTTAACACAGGGGTATCTCCTCTCACACTTTAACACAGGGGTATCTCCTCTCGCACTTTAACACAGGGGTATCTCCACTCGCACTTTAACACAGGGGTATCTCCACTCGCACTTTAACACAGGGGTATCTCCTCTCACACTTTAACACAGGGGTATCTCCTCTCGCACTTTAACACAGGGGTATCTCCTCTTGCACTTTAACACAGGGGTATCTCCTCTTACACTTTAACACAGGGGTATCTCCTCTCGCACTTTAACACAGGGGTATCTCCACTCGCACTTTAACACAGGGGTACAGTATCTCCTTTTGCACTTTAACACAGGGGTATCTCCACTCACACTTTAACACAGGGGTATCTCCTCTCGCACTTTAACACAGGGGTATCTCCTCTCGCACTTTAACACAGGGGTATCTCCACTCACACTTTAACACAGGGGTATCTCCTCTCGCACTTTAACACAGGGGTATCTCCTCTCGCACTTTAACACAGGGGTATCTCCTCTCGCACTTTAACACAGGGGTATCTCCACTCGCACTTTAACACAGGGGTATCTCCTCTCGCACTTTAACACAGGGGTATCTCCTCTCGCACTTTAACACAGGGGTATCTCCTCTTGCACTTTAACACAGGGGTATCTCCACTCGCACTTTAACACAGGGGTATCTCCACTCGCACTTTAACACAGGGGTATCTCCACTCGCACTTTAACACAGGGGTATCTCCTCTTGCACTTTAACACAGGGGTATCTCCTCTTGCACTTTAACACAGGGGTATCTCCACTCGCACTTTAACACAGGGGTATCTCCACTCGCACTTTAACACAGGGGTATCTCCACTCGCACTTTAACACAGGGGTATCTCCACTCGCACTTTAACACAGGGGTATCTCCACTCGCACTTTAACACAGGGGTATCTCCTCTCGCACTTTAACACAGGGGTATCTCCACTCGCACTTTAACACAGGGGTATCTCCACTCACACTTTAACACAGGGGTACAGTATCTCCTTTTGCACTTTAACACAGGGTTATGTCCTCTTGCACTTTAACACAGGGGTATCTCCTCTTGCACTTTCACACAGGGGTATCTCCTCTTGCACTTTAACACAGGGGTATCTCCGATCACACTTTAACACAGGGGTATCTCCTCTCGCACTTTAACAAAGGGGTATCTCCTCTCGCACTTTAACACAGGGGTATCTCCTCTTGCACTTTAACACAGGGGTATCTCCTCTCGCACTTTAACACAGGGGTATCTCCACTCACACTTTAACACAGGGGTATCTCCTCTCGCACTTTAACACAGGGGTATCTCCTCTCGCACTTTAACACAGGGGTATCTCCACTCGCACTTTAACACAGGGGTATCTCCACTCACACTTTAACACAGGGGTATCTCCACTCGCACTTTAACACAGGGGTACAGTATCTCCTTTTGCACTTTAACACAGGGGTATCTCCACTCACACTTTAACACATGGGTATCTCCTCTCGCACTTTAACACAGGGGTATCTCCTCTCGCACTTTAACACAGGGGTATCTCCACTCACACTTTAACACAGGGGTATCTCCTCTCGCACTTTAACACAGGGGTATCTCCTCTCGCACTTTAACACAGGGGTATGTCCTCTTGCACTTTAACACAGGGGTATCTCCACTCGCACTTTAACACAGGGGTATCTCCTCTCGCACTTTAACACAGGGGTATCTCCTCTCGCACTTTAACACAGGGGTATCTCCTCTTGCACTTTAACACAGGGGTATCTCCACTCGCACTTTAACACAGGGGTATCTCCACTCGCACTTTAACACAGGGGTATCTCCTCTTGCACTTTAACACAGGGGTATCTCCTCTTGCACTTTAACACAGGGGTATCTCCACTCGCACTTTAACACAGGGGTATCTCCTCTCGCACTTTAACACAGGGGTATCTCCTCTCGCACTTTAACACAGGGGTATCTCCTCTCACACTTTAACACAGGGGTATCTCCTCTCACACTTTAACACAGGGGTATCTCCACTCGCACTTTAACACAGGGGTATCTCCTCTCACACTTTAACACAGGGGTATCTCCTCTCACACTTTAACACAGGGGTATCTCCACTCGCACTTTAACACAGGGGTATCTCCTCTCGCACTTTAACACAGGGGTATCTCCTCTCGCACTTTAACACAGGGGTATCTCCTCTCGCACTTTAACACAGGGGTATCTCCACTCGCACTTTAACACAGGGTTATCTCCTCTCGCACTTTAACACAGGGGTATCTCCTTTCGCACTTTAACACAGGGGTATCTCCTCTCGCACTTTAACACAGGGGTATCTCCTCTCGCACTTTAACACAGGGGTATCTCCTTTCGCACTTTAACACAGGGGTATCTCCTCTTGCACTTTATATGTCGTTGCTGCTATATTGTACTGCCATATGGTAAATACTTGTGTGTGCTGCTCTTGCTCTTTTGCACATCATGTATTTGTCTTTGCTATGTTTATAATTGTCATGTTCTTAAATGTTTTATGTGAGGGACTGCAGATAGAAATTAGCTCCAAGCTAAAATCTGGCATATTTACACATTTGCATTTTTTTTTGTTTTAAGTGTTCATTAAAGGTGGGGTAGGTAAGTTTCAGAAACCGGCTCGAGTGCACTAAAATTTGAAAGTGCACAGCCGAAAATAATCCGCCCCTTCCTTCAGACTTCCTTAGAGCACCTCCTCCAACACACATGAACGCGCACATGACGTCAGCAGACTGGTGAAAGTGGCCGCCTGTTGCTGGCGAGTCATTGAAGTACTGCTGCAATGCACGCCCAATGACGGCACGCCCAATGAGGGCACGAGATACATTTGTGCGTGCACGAGATGGAAGGCTGACAGACAGGGCGGCAATCCAATCCGTTTAGCCGTTTAGTTGTACTTTTTAAAGCGCCACGGCTTCCACAGATGACATTTTTTTATGGATTTATTGTCAAAGCACTTAAGATATTCATTGCTATCGGGATGTTAAGATCATTCCATGGAATATAACAAAAAGTGTATCTCGAGCCGGTTTCTGAAACTTACCTACCCCACCTTTAATGTGCATTGTCCCTGCTAAATAAACGATTAAATGAGAAATATATATATTTCAACGTTGATATTTATATATTTATGTAAATGTTCTATTTTATTTGTATTCCTTGCACAATGCCTTGCTTTCATGCTGCTGTGACAAAACAACTTATCTAAACCTACTCTTGAATTATCAGATTAAGTATTTTTCTTGCATCAACATAGACAAATATTTAACACAAACATAAAGGGAATATTTTGGAAACTTAACAGAATATTACAATCACAGAAGACAGACGTTTCAAGACCTTTTAACATATATTTGACCAGGGTTCAACTCTGTATTTCATTTAGGGTTAACTGGTGCACAACAGAGTGCTTCAGTTTAACATTTCACATTTTATGGAAACAGTTGATGTTGAATATATATGAAATAGAGCAGCAGGCCTCTTACCTCTTGAAACAGCCTGTAGTTCCTGGCTTTGCCTGTACTGATATCCCACACCACCAGCACCTGGACAACACAGCACAATTATTCAATTATTATTTATAAGGACTGGGAAATATATTGATATTATTTTGATATAGTGTAACATTTCTGGTATCTAATATACATAGCTATCTGTATCCACACTACTGCTGATATTTTATAACAAAAAAGTCCTTACTGTAGTGTAATGTAATGTTTGCTTGAACACACATTTTATAAGATCAGAAGTAAGTTTCAAATATGTATCGACTCTAGTTTCTGCAGTGGAGGACAGGAAACATTTTGTATGATTTGATCCATGAAGTACAACAGGTACTTTTGATATTTTACCTTTGATATTTTTGTTCCTGAGTTTCTGATGCAGTACAGTCCGTCCTGGGGGTGGACAGCGCTCTCTCTGAACAAACTGCAGGCACACACATTACAGGTTGTAAAGTTAAAGTTAAAGCCTTTTATTGTCATTATACACAGAGTATAACGAGATTCAGAGTGCAACTCTGTCCCGGTGTGCAAAAAATACAAACACATACATAACACTAAAAAACACGGCAATAGGACAGACAACATAAACAATCATACAGGGGATTAAATAGTTACAAATATTGATTTAAAAATAGTATATAAAGTGCATTAAAAGTGTGTGTATGTGTGAGAATGGTTACGGTTATTGCATTATGTGTGGTCGTTAAGCAGCGTGACGGCCCAGGGGTAGAAACGGATTTTGAGTCTGTTTGTCCGTAAAGACACGTCATCACAGATATAAGCTACATATTGAGCCTCTTTTTGCAAATTCATTAGCGTGAACTGCAGGGAACTGGTGCCCCAAATAAGAAGGATTCAACAACAACATTTGTAGCAACTACTACATAACCAAATACTATGTCAATTAAATAAGTGCATAAGATAAAGCACCAGGAGGCATACATGTTCTGCAAAAGCTCTGGCTTGCAATAAGGACATTTCATATTACATATATATATATATGTATATATGTATATATTATATATTTATATTAAAAAAGCGTCTTACTTTTCAATGACGCTGGTTTCTGTCGTATCAATGAACACAGAGTCTGGCATCTGCACCTGTAGAGACACACACATAGTTAAACACACTGTTATGTGTTTATAACTGATATTGGCTCAAATAGGAGTAATTAAGAGCTTGAGATTGAGAAATGCACATGTGTCTAATGATTTGTTTTTGTGGAATCCCAAATGACAATATTTAGTCACCAAACTACATTTTCCATTGAAGAAATACGCAAGATAAGTGTGACAGGAAATGAGCTGATACCATGTGTGTAGTCATCCTTGTTGAGGACATCATCTCTACTCTTTAAAGCCTGTTTCCTCAGGGTGCTTCAACATCATCTCTACTCTTTAAAGCCTGTTTCCTCATTTGAAGTTGAATTGCTCAACTTGAATCATTGCATACAAAGATTCTGAACAGTTTTTCTTGTTTGAAACTGAGTGTAATATTATGAAACTAAAACGGTGTTTGATTGTTACGTACACACAATTATACACTTTCACATTGAGTTTTCACAGTTCAGTTTCAGTTCTTGCCATTCAATGAAATTACTAGACACAGAGAATTGAGGAAGAGCAATGGAGTGCAGATTCAAAGAACTCTGGTACATGCACTTTTTGATAGTTTGTTGTGGTGAGAAACCAAACTGGCAGACACAAGAAAACGTTTAATATTTGTTTTCTCTGAATTGGAATTTCAAGAAGTGAATGTGGAGATATAGTGTGTTGACTGTATTTGATCGTTCGAATGATCCTTATCAAATTCAGTTTTCTATGCAATTTCAGTATTCATGTTGTGCAATTAAATACAGCTTTTCTCATTGAATGTACTGTAGCTCCCGACAGGTACATTAGCCTGGTAGGTATTTGTGATGTGTCTAAGATGAATAGCTTGTTCTATCTATGTGTAAACTTTTAACGATTCAAAGGTAGTGTTTGATGGTGATTTGTTAGAGCAGAATCAAGGCTTGAGTCCTGTATTGTGAACTATCCTTACGTTTTCGTAGTCATCGTCAGATTCACATCCTCCGCTGTGTTTGCTCGAGTCTAGTTTCCTCCTGAACTCTGAGGGCGCCTCATCGCCTGGAGACCGGAAGCTCTGGCCGTCTGGAGATGCTCTTCTGGGGGGAAAGGACATCTTAGTGAGTTACCCTGAACCAGATGAATTTATTTGTTCATTTCAGAGATTCTGTGTTGAATGTTTTGTGCTTGAGAGTCCGACTCACTGAATTTTGGTCCCCTGCTGCTTGTTCTTGGCTGCAGGCAGTGAGGGTTTAAGTGTTGGCGGAGGGGGCTTGGGTATCACCGGCTTAGTCAATTGTCCAGTTTTAAGTAGAGGAGAGGTGGGACGGTGATTAGGCGGAGGTGGGTGACTGGGGAAGGTCTTGCTGAGGGACGGAGAGTCCAGCATCGCAGGTCTGAGGCCTATATTGGACTGAGGAGGTGGGCTCGGCTTCTTGCGGTGGTTGACGCCCATTGATTGGCTCCCTCCTACATTAAGGGTGCGGTGGGCGGGACCATTAAGGCCCATCAAAGAGTCTAATTGGTTGCAGATGGGTAGAGTGGCGGGGGTTTGGATGGTTACCCCCGGCATCGACCTCCTGTCTCTCATGTCGGTCCCGGACTGACTCACAGAAGCCGCCCTGCCCTGACTGGTTCTCTTTGCGTTGGGGGGCGGAGGAGGAGGGGCGGTGGAGGACTTTTCCAGGTGGGGGGCGTAGGGGAGAGGAGGGGGCGGTCCTCTGTTGGGGCCCTTCAGTATGGAGGGAGGGGGGGCAGAGGGCGGGGGTTTTTTGGGGAGCGGGCTGCTGGGGTTTCTGTGTACGGGCGGGACGGGAGGAGGCAGGCCTTTGTGGAAAACTGGAATGGAGTCTTGACGGGGACTAAAACCTGGCACTGGGGGAGGGGGGTAAGAGGGGGGCGGCCCAGCAGGTCGACCTGGAGAGGTAAAAGAAGAAAAGGTAAAATTCTAAGTGGTTTCTAGGTTATTCATTTGTCACATTAAGTAAGATTCAATAGATGCAGCCTATTTGTATAGCTAGCCAATCAGATTGGACTAAGGTTCTCTGGTGCGCGATGTAAAGTCACACATGTATGTATAAAATAATGAATGTGTTTTTTAGGAAATAAAGGCATGTAAATATGTTGTAGTACACACCAAAATACAAGGTATGAATCGGAAAATGTCAAATATGTCCCTTTAAAGTAACATCATGTTGTGTGCCAGGCTCACTAAATACTGACACGTTAAACCGACAAAAGTCCAAAGTCTCAATATTTACATAAACCAAAATAAATTCCTGGATGTTTAAAAACAAAAATACAATTGAAATAAAAAAATATGAGCTTCAATAAGATATGAAATAAATCTAACAAGTGTGTTTTAATGTGTTTAAGTGCTCTTTTGATTGCAGTTCCCTTTATTGTCAACAGCTTCCTTTAACCAAATGATTTCTCTTTATCTGTCGCTGTCATTTCCAGGAACTCCTAGTTTCTATGATAAGTAGAGTGTGTGTGCGTGTGTGCGTGTGTGTGTGTGGGGTCAGTTGCGTCACCTGTCGACGTTGGCGAATAGTCAGCGTCTGGCCTCAGATAGTCTTCCTCATCGTCGTCATCATCATCCTCAACATAATCTGCACACAGAAACAAAATATCTAACAGTGTAATAACACACCGGTATAATGTGTGTGTCTGTATTCATAACGGTGGACTTACTGTCTTCTGCGTTGTCCACATCGTGTCTAATAGTCATGGTCTTCTCAATCGTCCCGTAGAAACTGTCTGCATCTGAATCTGTGTCACTATGGCAACAAATAAAATGTTATTATGAATACATGAAAACAGAAAAAGGGTTATGGTGGATTATTATTGGCCTAAGGCTCAACACTTCCTGTCGTGAAATGTTAGATTTGCAAAGGTTACCTTGAAGTGTGAGAGTCTTTTCTGTCGTTATAGTGATCTATCTCCTTTCTCAGGAGCCGCATCCATTTCTTTAAAAGAAAAAAATATATAGTTTAAAGAACTCTAGTATGAAGAATTATAGTACAGCTCATGAGAAGAGAGTTTGTGACTTTGTGTGTGTTACAATTGTGGTATTGTATATAATTGGTGTGTACACACACACACACACACACACACACACACACACACACACACACACACACACACACACACACACACACACACACACACACACACACACACACACACACACACACACACACACACACACACACACACACACACACACACACACACACACACACACACACACACACACACACACACACACACACACACACACACACACACACACACACACACACACACACACACACACACACACACACACAAAAACACCTACACAACGCATGTGAGTACAAGTGCATTGTACTGTGTGTGTGTGTGTGTGTGTATGTATGTGTGTGTGTATGTATGTATGTATGTATATGTGTGTGTGTGTATGTGTGTGTGTATGTATGTGTGTGTGTGTATGTATGTATGTATGTGTGTGTGTGTGTGTGTGTGTGTGTGTGTATGTGTGTGTGTGTATGTATGTATGTATGTGTGTGTGTGTGTGTGTGTGTGTGTGTGTGTGTGTTCTCACCCTCCTCTCCTCCTCGCTGGCTGCAGAGAAAAACCACGTCCTGTGTTTCTTACTGAAGTGGACGATCTTAAAAGGAAACACGTTACTGGACGTCGTCTCCTCCGCTGCTCTCATCACTCTGTGGGAGAGAATACATGTGTTGTGTTCAGAATTGTGCATTTAATGAGAATAATTAAATTATCACCATTAAAACAATTGGGATAATAGACGGACAACAAAACATGTCATTTGCTATGTTTGTTTGAGAAGATTTACTACTGAGGTTACTTTTGTGAGTGAGAATGAGTTCTGAAAGCTAGAAATCTCGTCACAGAGCCATGCACTTGTTGAGTCATTATTTCATTTCATGTGTTTTGTTTCCTCTTTAACGCATGCAGACTTAAAATCTGCAGATGCACAAGATGCCAATCAATCTTAAAAAACTCTCAAGTGTTGCCCACCACAAAGGCACCTAGGTACATTAACATTTAAAAACCCTAACAAGCTTGTGACACTCTGTGTTTGTGTGTATGGACTTTACATTAAGTCAAGTTAGGTGTGGGTGAGGGGGTTAGCAAGCAGTTAGTCTTGAAGTATGCTAAAAAACAACATTTCTGATAGAGGACTTTGAGCAGTTGAAGGATTTTCCCTCACCTGTTGTAGCCGTTGAGAGAAAACGCCCCCTGTGGTGCGGCGGAGGTACTGCTCTTAAAGTAGTACATACAGCCTTTGTGGATGATGATGTACCTCAGAGGCCCTGAGAGACAGAAAACAGCTATTCAGAACAATCTACCACATGTGTAATGAAACTGAACTGAACTATGAAATCATTCTTTGTTGTTTCACATGTTCTGTCCACCCACACGTAATCCTTTCATTATGAACTCACACTTCATGAGGCTGAACTGGCTGCCTCCCTTCTTGTGGAGGTAACCCGAGGTGGAAACTCCTCCCGGCATGGTGAGGAGGTTCTGAGCCCCGATGGCCCGCATCGGCACCGGCCAGCACATCTCTGGAGACGACATGGTTCTACCGGAGAGGAAAGAGATAAGAGGATAAGAGTGCTGTTGTTATTATTGGATAATGGTGGGACAGATCGACCTGTGGAGACACCTCAGGAGTCCAAGAAAAACATGGAAATCTGGGAATGAATCCAGCAGAAACAAAAAGAAAACCTACAAACAAAGTTTCTTGTTCAAACCTTTTGTTTGATAAAATAAGAAAAATGTGATATTTCTCTGTCCCTCTATTACCACACCAGCTAACCTGTAGGGGTGAACTGCAAGGCCACTTCTCACTTGTTTTATTACCTCAGTAAACATTTTTCTCATTACTTTATGGTCTCAATTGGTTGTTAAGTGTTACTTCAATACAGTATGAGGTTCATTTAGTAAATAATGGTCCCATTAAGAGTCAAATAGACTATAAAGCAGGGTATGATTTAGGGCATGTCCACCTTGTGATTGACAGGTCGCACCACAGTGTTGTGTTTTGTTGTACTCCATGTTTTTGTCTAAGAACATTACACTTTCTAGTGTGTTTTCAGTTCATAAAAACATTTATTGTACAATTGTTTCCCTTAAACGTCTTGTACAGCATTTGGTTCCTCTCGAGTCACTTCTGATTCCAAAAAGCCAAGATTGCAACAGCCAAAAATCTAAACTGGAGACACCAATACGTAGTCAAAACACCAATGAATGGCACCACGGTGAAGAAATCCACTTGTTATATGCAAGCGTGCATCTTCCAAGCAGCTCAGATGTCACAGATATACTACTAGATCAAGTGAACGTCTTTTTTACTAACCCTATGTCTGGCATGTTAATGACATCGAACCAGAAACACCAGATACAAAACAAAGAGGCATACTGCTGTGTGAAATTAACCTCCTCAATAACATGTTTTTCTAAGTTTAAATGACCCTGCACTGTACACACTAATGATTTGGAAGAAAGGGTATAAGTTATAGCAGGTTATCCTTACTTACATAGGCCAGTGAAAGGTGTCATTGTTATTATGTGGAAAGTTAGTAGACAGATTCAGCTAGTGCTACCAGCTGTCCAATCATATTTAGGTAGGGAAAAACACATTCCTGAATTCATTAACTGATCTTAAAAGTGGTCAAATCTTCCTTTATATGTCAATCTAAAGAGTAGTTTTCCTTTCAAAAGTCATCCTCCTACACCATGATCAAGTCTGACCTCCCCGGGTGTTGCCTACCTCCTGTTGAGCCTCCTGCTGATGCTCTGAGCCGCAGCACTGTCCCTCAGCAGGCTGGCTGTGGAGGCTAACACTGAGGACGCTAACGTCGGCAGCAGGTCCATGACAGAGACGTCCAGCAGACAGACTCACACTCCTCTCTCTCCGTCCTCCGTGGGTTCACTGTGGCGTCTCATCAGATCAGAACTGAGAGGGATCTGCGTGTGCTGTTTCTGCCTCCTCTGATCACACTCGTTTCATTTCACTCTCTGATCTCTCTCACTCTCTGATCTCTCTCAGTTTCTGATCTTTCCTTCGCTCTGGCTGTCTATGTTGATTTATATCTCTCTTTCTCCCTCCCTTACACACACACACATACTGTACACAGACATGTCTACATGAACACACATTTATTTCCTGTCCTGAGTCATTTTGGCAGGGTTCAAGGAGTGTGTCTGTGCGTGTTCGTATCTGTCTCTGTGTGTGTGTGTGTGTGTGTATGTGTGTGTGTGTGTGTGTGTATGTGTGTGACAGAGAGGGCGGTAGTGAAAATAAACATACATAGGTTCTTCATCCTCCAATGTGTTTATGTGTAACTTCCAGTCTATCAACAGCATCTACTGACCTCAGGGAGAAACAGAGAGTCTGGTGTGTGTGTGTGTGTGTGTGTGTGTGTGTGTGTGTGTGTGTGTCTAAAGCCCAGGAAAGAAAAACTCCATATCTACTACTTCTTGCCAAAAATCCCCTCCCTTCTGCTGAGATAAAAACCCTGCAGGAATGTCGACTCAGTGTACTGAAACCCACCTGTTTTACGTTTAAGGGAGCTTGACATGCATTGACTGGCAGGTGGACTTTGGACATGTTAACACTCACAGGAATCAGCACGTCAAAGACACTTTCTGGCATGGTTAAGGCCTCATTGTTTTCCAAACAAACAAGGCTTTCTAAAGTGTGTACAACTCATAAAACACACTTTATGAACAGATGAAAGGCCTGCTTCTGGACAGTCCGTCCTTAAAGTTATTCAAGTCGTCATGCTCTGCTGCAGATCAAAAAAGCACTGGAAGTTGTTGTGTGAGATTTAAGAGGCCCTATTATGCTTTTTGGGGGTTTTCCCTTTTCTTCGGTGTGTTATATAGAACACTCCTTTGACTCCTTTGTTTACTTCCGTAACATAGTGACCTAATTGTGTAACACTAGTGCTCCAACACATTGTACGTGATAGGCTAAGGGTCGGGACATCTTTTAGCGGTTGACCAATCACAACAGAGCCCGGCCAGACAACCAACCAAATGCTATAATTTTGAGTTGTACCTTCTGTTGGCAAAAAAGTGCACAAAAGAAAAAAGTAAAAATCATGGGAGTGTGGACGGATGGCGGGAGTGAAAAAGCAAAGCTGATAAAGAAAAGTGGAGCCTAAAAACCTGCCTGAGACGCAGTACAGTAAATCTCCAGGAAGGAGCTGCCGTTTGTTCTGACCCGTGAGTGCCCTGCTGTCTATGTGAAGACTTCAAGAGAACCCTCAAACGATATCATGTGGTTAGTTATCCGACTGTAATGTTTACTGATAAGCAGCCAACTCACAGATAAACGGTTCATTCTGCAGTTACAGTAACACAGCTCATCTCTATCTGAGCTGGGTCAAAGCTCCCGAGCTGCTTATCATCCACACGAGGGTCTCCTGAAGTTCAACAGAGCAGACACACCGCCAGCGGACGAAACTAAAGCAACATGATTGCACTGTGCACTTTCCTGTTTCCTTTAGGAAGTGACCTAAAAGTCTACATTACAGATATTACATTGGTGATATTTGACATCATACCAACAACCACTTTAACCTTTCACAACGCCCACATTTCCAGTGACTATTAAACTTCAACAAATACAGTACCTCAGTTTCGTTCATTTCATTCACACTTCAACCGTTTTTTTTTTATACATGACGTTTACTTTTAAATTCCTAATGCTTTCTGCAGTTATGTTTTTGGACTGTTGCATTTCAAATACACTTCAAGGCCTTTAAGTGCTTCAGCTTCAACAGACACTGACACAGATGCGACTTCTCTTAGTTTTGTATGTTTTCAAAGAGACTTTAAAAGACAATTCGGAATTTCCAAAGAATGATGCAACATGTTGGAGATGAAACCAGTAATGTTTTTGAAAATTAATTATTACTAAAATAACTTAAATGTTAGTATTCATTTACAAGAATATTGTTATACTGTATAATTCATAATATGTTTAAGCTACAACTCTGAAGATACAATATTTTGTTAGTGTCTAATAATGTGATGCATTTTTACACACACACCCCCACCCTACACACACACACACACACACACACACACACACACACACACACACACACACACACACACACACACACACACACACACACACACACACACACACACACACACACACACACACACACACACACACACACACACACACACACACACACACACACACACACACACACACACACACACACACACACACACACACACACACACACACACACACACACACACACACACACACACACACACACACACACACACACACACACACACACATTTATTTTGTTTATCATATATATATATATATATATATATATGGCAGCATATGAAAGCAAACAGAGGACATAAAGGGAATCCTTTCTTTCAAAACAATTATTGAAATCCAGTAGATTCACTCTGTTTGCCCAAATCAATCATTGTCTCAGATTATGGTTTAGCTCAGTGCCTCGACTGAACAAGTGAAATACAATTCTTCTCTGTCACTTAACCCAAACTATTTCCTCTCACTGCAACATGAAGCCACCAACATGAGAAGCTGCCATGTTTCACTTTACACAGGTTTACTTAAAGGAAACATAATAGTGTTTTGAGGTTTTGAACCCTCTCACCCCAACAGGCTCTCCATCCTGAACTCTGCTCATGTTTGTGAGCCGGAGATGCTAATCATAGCAGCTGTTTTTCAGGAAGGGAAGCACTGGAGCTGCTCACATACCAGACTCATTCAAACATATTTCCCACACACACACACACACACACACACACACACACACACACACACACACACACACACACACACACACACACACACACACACACACACACACACACACACACACACACACACACACACACACACACACACACACACACACACACACACACACACACACACACACACACACACTCACACACACACACACACACACACACACACACACACACACACACACACACACACACACACACACACACACACACACACACACACACACACACACACACACACACACACACACACACACACATTCTAGATCAACTACTGGTAATAGTGTTGTAATCAATTGCAACACTTTAAATCTTAGTTAGCTTATCAGTGATGACAGGGTTTTTTGAAAATTCTAAAATATGTTGTCATCATCTGAACCAAAGAATGGACTTTTGACAGAAATCCTAACATCAATTGCTCAATACTTCTCCAGCTTTATGAGCCTTATCTGAGAGCCTGAAAGACCCTTCAAAGGGCAAACAAACAACCCAAGGTGACTCAGTATTCTGACTTCCCATTGATGAGTAAAAATAAAAAGGCATTATGAGAATATTTCCATTCTGATATTCAAATCTGTTATCTGTGACGTCTGTGTTTGTTAACCGCCTGTCTGTGGATTCTGACCAGAGAAACTGAAACTGAAACATGTGCAGCTGTGAGGCCGAAATCCCCTGATGAATCACAATCACATTGAATTTCATAGAGACAACATGACAGTGGCTTATATTTCAGCCTGCTAGATTTCTTAGGAAAATGCAGAAATTGCATTTTCTACTGCGGGACATTGGAACACATATTTTTTTTAGCTTTAATTCTTTCCCCGAAATAAGCATTTTTAAACAAAAACAAAACAAACCATGGGTCCATTTTTAATGCATGGGGAATCAAGAGCAATGCAAAAAGTTGTTTAGTCTAATTTTGAATTAGAGTTAGGAGAATAATTCCATACCCAATATGCTTCGATGCAGTAAAGTAAGGTATGATACAAGATGAATAAATCCCCTTTATTGTTATTTTTAATATCTTGACCGTAAAGGAGGGACAATTGAGTGAGATTCAACTATTCGTTGGTAGGGCAGAGGGAGAAACATCCGGCAATTAACGTATTTGACTACTAAGTGCGCTTTTATCCTTTTGTTCAATTATTTTTGGGCCACAACACATTATATATTTAAATGTCTACCTGCTATCTCAACATCTGTTATGATATTTTACAGATTTCAACAGCTGCCAGGTGTGTGTGGCTAACCAAAGCTCTGCGAATTGAGGGTGTTTTAGTCACAGACCTCAGAACATCTGTCCCACGGTCTCCCTGAGACACACTCGCAAACACACACACGACAGATGGAAAGGTCATGGGTAAACCGCTGTCCGAGCAGAAGCATATGCAGTAAAACTCATGTCCTGCTCAGGAAACAGAAACTGTCGAACAGAGCTGCGTTTTCTTTCTGATCACCATCGACTGCCGACCACAACGGTTCCTCCGCTGCTTCAGCTTCACTTTCATTCGTAGGTGTGAACACATTAATAAAAGCTAGAGGTATGCGTTTAGAGAGGTTTATCAGAAGTTTGGAGGGTTTACTCTTTCCCTTTGGCTTGTTTATCCAGATGAATGGTCTTTGTCAGATTGTCCGCACATTGAAAGGAAAACTGTTTTGTTAGCTTGGTTGACGTATAGCTGCCATAGCATTTCCTGTAGTTAACAACCATAATAGCCAGTCATTGCAGCTACCCACTCATGAGTTGAAGTTGGGGGAAAAAACAAAGCCTTTTGCATCATTGACATACTCCAAATAAATATTCTCAATTAATTTTTTCCACTTGACGAATCGGCAAAAACATTTGAGTATTTTCTTTGGTTCTATTTCCCAATGGATTTCATTATTTATTATTATTATTATTATTTCTATTTTCAAAGTTTAAAGCACTGTTCATTAAGGGACCTCAAGTGAACGACAGTGGGTGGGGTTCTTTGACCCCTTCCAAAAAAACAGAACTGAAACAGAAAGTTAACTGTACTACACTCACACACACTTTTTGAAAGCAAATAATCTCAGGTCCTCTTTTTCTACCTGTTGCTTCTCCTACCCATCATCGCTTCCTGTGTCCAAATATGGCAATTTCACTTCAACAGGAACTGTCAAACTCACATAACGGTTACAAAGACGAATATAACAACAAACAGATAATAAAATAGACTTATACAAAGTTGCAAAGAGAAAAACGAAGGAAGCAAGAGAGCAAAAGCGTAGAGATTCAATGCTGACTTCATGCCCACCCTACTTCCCCCCCCCCGACGTAGGGTTGAAAAATGACAGCACATTTCCTGTAAATGAACCTTGCTGAGG